GACCGGAGTGAAATGATTTTATCAACATTGGATCTGAATAATATTCCATGTCTCATCGACTTGAGTCATGAGAGGTTGGTATGCCAATATCAACTCATTTATTGAAGTTTATTAATTTCTTGTACATAATCTCCCTATCAACAGGACTGAAAATACAATGATGAAAACTAAGCCTCTCATAGGAACGGTCAATTTATCAACTAATAAAAGTTACACCAAAGATAAAGTTACATCAGTAAATTCAATGCGGGAATGTTTTGGCTTTGAAGCAGATTCGGCTGTAATTGAGCCTTACAATTATGGCGTTTTTGATCGATTGCATCGCCGTAAGAGATTCTTCACAGCAGCCGTGGTAATATTGATTATGATTATTGCTTCTATAAGCGTTATTCAGTGTGGTTTAGTGAACACTTCCTCAAACGACGATTCAAAAAACAATAGTTTAATTACAGATACTTTAGTTGAGTTGTTTAAGAAGAGTCCCGCAGCTCGATTTGACAAATTCTTCACGACAACGTCGAGCAAAACATCGATGTTGTCGAACAACAAATCAAGAAAACAAACTGAAAACATGGATCACAAACCAAATAAAAATTCAGCAGTTTTCTTAAAAAATATTGACAAATTTGCCTATCAAGATGCCTTGAAACTTGTTTTGACAAAGCCAGTAGTATCAAGATCGTTGAATGGCGGGATAGAATTTACTGCTGCGAACGTTTCGCTCAAAAAGAATACAATAACCGGACAACGCCAGGTGGTGGTGAATGAAGATGGTATAAGGAGCACTGACATTGATGAAGCGACTACGAAAAATACAGGTAAGAGAAACGATAAAATTTGAAAACTGAACTTCTCGTTTACTATAAAAAACGATATTTTTTCAGCACTAAATTAGTCTTTACATAATTTTAACATAACCTAACCTCAGCGGACTGCGGGAAATGAGTTTTAAATAGATATTAATTACGCTTGCAAGTCCACAATCAAATCAAGGAATTTAAATTTTTCTGTCGTAGGCACAACAGACTTGTCATAGAAATTTTGGGATGGGAGCCGGTCTGACGAGATTGTGCGCCCATAAATCCCGTCACTATGAGTCCTGTCTTACCAAATCCATATAATAGTTGATAGTACATGTAACGTTGATAGTGCATGTAAAATTTACAGTTTTCGAACTAAAACTCACTCATCAATATTTTAACCCAACTTACCCGTGTCTACAATTTTCAATACCTTGTGATTCCACCAGTTAAAATAAACTTTTATACAAGGTAATGTCCCAGAAGTGTCAAAATTGGGATGCGCGCCCGAACGCACAAACTATCTCCAAACGCACAAACTTTGACAAATGAATATAAGCGAAAGAATCAAGCGGCTTTGAATCTCAGACGCTCTGATGTCTGTCAAGAATTAATTAAGGTAAGATTATAGAATATTTTTCATCTAAAGCAATATTGCAATTATCGGAAATTTAGTGTCAATGAGGATCAGATATCATCTCGAATTTAAAATGTTATCGTCGTATTGTTTTACAATTACTAATACTGCTCGGACATGAAATGTCATTTCATCAAACTGGAACATCAGCTTGTGACCACCGCCGAAGGTGATCAGTTGGTTTGTTATATTCACAACATTCAAATACTTTCTGTAGCATTATTCCAAACTTTGTACGGGCATCAATAGAAAAGAACGTACAAATACGAAGCAATATGATTTTTCAAGCTTGAGTATTTTAGTCACAAGCAGTCACGATAATTAATGATGTAATTAATCCCTTTTAGATAATTACTTGTGTAATTAATCCATTTACTTGCTCGCAGGTGCGATGCTGACTGGAGCGCGACACAAGGCGGAAATTTTCAAACGAGAAGACACGAGGACGACTACGAAACTAAGAGAACACGGACACGCAGGGCATGACACGCCAGCAATCATCAGCAAACAACTTGTCGGTCCTCATAAGTCGTCAGTGATAAGTGACTACATTGCGCCACTCATCACAGATATAAATGGAAGTAGTCTTAACGAGCAGCAACAGCCGGGCGTGAACTTCAGAATAATGAACCTTTATTCAAGAAAAAAACTTGAAAGAAAGAGGCAAAAACTTGTGCATATGCTATCAAGATTTCTCTCCAAGCGCCCCAACACATTAGGGAAATCTTGTGGACAGCCTAGAATTGAGTTAACATTCCGGGAAATGTCCCGAAACAGAAGTAGAGTATTTGAACTTCCTCCAACCATTTTTTCAGACTATTTTCTTGGTAAAAATATTACGTATCAGTTTATGTGCCGCAACGAAACAGTCGAGCCCATCAACCTTTTAGGATGCTCGAATGAAATAAGTATCGATTTGTACTGTTCAAGTACAATGATTGCTGAAAGTAAAGTAATTTTGAAGCGTTCGATTCATCCTTCGATGTACAAATCGCCATCGTATAATTCAAATCCTTACCGCGAAACTAAAGCTTGGAGAAGGCAAAACTTCTTCGGAGGCCTCGGAACAATAAAACTTACTCCTCAGCAACGTAACACGAATTTTCTGAGCATTGCACCGGCAATGTTGAACTGCTATGGCTCAACTTTCCTTTGTTTCTTTTGCTACATTTTCCTATTCTACTCAGAAACGGACTTGGATCCTGGAGCTTGCATGGGCGCATTTTGGTCAACGGTTGGACCGAAACCATCCGCAAGCCATGGAGATGTACAGATTCCTTGCTACTCCCGTGGTGAAACTCATGAAGAAATCTCAAGTCTTTACGTCAGTAGTAGACGTTGTGTCTCGGCCATTCAGGCAACACATGGAATACACGGAGGGAATACGCGCTAATGACAACATTTTAGGAGCATTGTTACTTTTTGTTTGCTTGCGGATACTCGCAGTTCTTTGGTTCGCGAAAGAATACGAAATTCATGTACAAACTTGCATCATGTTGATTGTGACCTTCGCAGGCTTTAGATTTCTGTGGCACAGAAAAGTTAACACTTGATAAAGGAACGGAAACGTATTCAGTGGAACCTTGCCTTACGAACTTAATTCGTACAACGGTTTCGTTAGTGAACCTAATATCCCGTAGAAATTGAAGGCAAGTCTCTGATCCGTCGTCCCTGCTTAAAAGTAATCACTTTCACTTATCTACTGTGATTTCAATATGCTGAACAAAAATTATGGTTGTGCCAGCACTTGGTTTAACTTCACTTTCGCAAACGTCTTATTTCGGGGTATGGACGGGCTAGGCGATGCGCCAACGTCACTCTGTCACTTGACAACAAACTTGTCCAAGGTCGTCAAGTTCGATCTCGACTTGAGCGCATGTCTAAAGTCCTCAAGACATCTGATGATCTGACTGAGTTCGACGTACAAGCTAAGAAACCCAGTATCAGCATGAGAGGCTATGTGCCGTTAAATTTTAAATGCCCTTAAAGGCCGCCGACTTATTTATCGACAATTTTTAGCACTTTTGGGCATGGATCGCTCAGCGACCCACGGCCGTTGAGCTGGGCACGCTTTTTCCGATCTGACGGTTTTTATGGTCTAGAGAGGACGTTCGTAAAGCATGGTGACACTATAACAGCAAAGTCATATTATGTTTCTAATTAAAGGGATTTTCTAATAATTACTGGAGGTGGTTGGCTGTTTGTTTTATTGAATCTATTGTATTGAATAGTTGAGTGAATATTTCTGGTAATAATAACTATTTACCATGATCATGCTTTAAATTTATAATACATTGGTGCATTTGCGTAGGGCATTTATTTATATGTATATTGCCATGTTCTAAAAAGTGATGGAAGATTTTAATGCGTTAGCACCAAGTAGGCTGTTCTGGAAACCAAATTTCTTACACGTAGATTTGGGCGTACTTGAAATAGCGACCATCTAGACGGATGCTAGTCTTAGCATATAAATGTTTAGTCCAATTAGTCATTGTAAGTATTCATTAATGCTAGATCTCACGCGTTGTTTTGACAATTGCACAGGTGCTGGGGTACAATGCATTTACCGTTAATTAGTTACTGAAATGAATAACGATGTCGGGTCTACTGCTGGAAATTTTTTTCTAAGGAGTTGTTATAGCTAAAAAAAAATCGTGAGCAATATCATCCCACAGTCTTGTTTTGGTCGACTGTTCACGCGAATTGTCATAGGTCTGGTATCAAAGAGTTGTTTCTTTTATTTTAATTTTCTCAGATTTCGTTGAGCTGTTAACTGAAAAATTAGTAATTACTTTGACATATTGTAACTCCTGGCGTCATTTAGGGAAAATTTCAGATTACAATTCCGCTATGTATTTTTTCCTTGCGACTTTTATTCACGTTTAGAGATAAAACTCCTGATAGTATATTAACATCAGTACAATCAAGATGAACGCGGCCAAAAATCCGTAATTTCGAATCCAAAGAATGTCCCGTTAATGACATCAACACGTGAGCTGAAAGGCCCTCTGACACGACCGGCTTTCATTTTTTGTCTGTTCAACAATAATGATTATGAAGAAACCGAAATCGTTACTTTTTTTCTCCATTTGTGATGAGCTTGTCAATATCCAACGATGTTGCTCACAAGCAATGTGAATAAGTGGAAGTAATCTGCTTGCGATCAACCAAAGATCCAAAGATGGAAGGCAATGTATGGCCCATGGGTTGAATCCAGCCAGTAACGTGATGTTTTCCAGCCATGAATTTGCTTGATTAATTGAATGAATTATTGTTCTTGAATTGTCTTCTGTCCTACCTACTATCAGCAAGGAGCAAGTTACAGCATCCTGCATAATCAGCTCAGATGAGGGCAAATAAACGCAAGTTAACCGTGAGGCCCTTCCTTTCGATGGCTTGGAGACTGCGGATGACAAAGGCGGCGCATCAGCGTGGACCGGGATGATGACGTCCGAGACTTGGCACGAAGACATGACATACCGACGGCTTTTAATAAATTAAGATAGCCGCTCTTAGCGCGCATATAGTGTAAAAACCGGGAATATTCAAATGATATGTAGAAAGAAATTCATCATTCGACTATATTAAATAATACATTTATGCTCGGTAACTTTTCTCCGTTCAAGACACGAGCAATTTACTGGCTTATCAAGTATCTGTACAGATAAAAAAAACGCTATGTACTATGCACATGAAGACATAACCGCAGCAATGAAACATTGTAATTATTCTGCAGAAATATACAAATATAATTCTAACTATGCATACGTATATTTCAAAATAGAAGAGTCAGCCTCAGGAACGTATTAAACTATAGCTTGATATACCTAGCGTCAGCAGGCAGAGTTTAGTCTCACACAGATCAGCAGTTAACTACAGCTCCATAACAACAACATAACAGATAGCCACCCCAATTATAAGCCACACATGGCCAAATGCGACTATTTACTCGCAAAAAATATTAACTTTACATCACAATCAAAACGCTTCAAACCTCCTCTTGGTACAACAACACAATGTCACAATAGGGCAGGTCGTCCAGGCATAGCGGCGGAGAGGTCCCAGGTAGACGGCAGGTCACAGCAGCAGGTCGTCCAGGCATAGCGACGAGAGGTCTCAGGCAGACGGCAGGTCACAGCAGCAGGTCGTCCAGGCATAGCGACGGAGAGGTCCCAGGCAGACGGCAGGTCACAGCAGCAGGTCGTCCAGGCATAGCGGCGGAGAGCTCCCAGGCAGACGGCAGGTCACAGCAGCAGGTCGTCCAAGTATTCCTCGAACTGCTCATCGCGGCTGCGGTCGTCAGGCAGCACCAGGGGCTTCTTCCAGTGGCTCTCCTCAGCTGTCGCAGTGTCAGCAGTGTCAGCTGCGATTGTGTCAGCTGGGCCTGTGTCAGCCATGTCTGTTTTGCGCCTCTTGGTGTCGTCTGCTGCGAATTGAGAAGAAATTGAAGTTGAAACGCTTGTATACATTCATGAATTAGGACGTGTTTAATATTTACTTCTGAGATGCACAGCTGTTTACCTTCAACAGTGCCGGTTTCTCCACTAAACTGTGAAGGCTCTTTTAGCCGCTTCCGTTTCTTGGCCTGTTTACGTTGCTTGCAGTGGTTCAGTCTGGGCGAACACAAGTTACACAGTCCTGCGCAGGTTTATAAAATAGGCAAGCACATTACTTAACAATTGTAGCACGTTAGGTACATAATTGAGATTAAGAATTGTCATACTTAAATTATGGATGTAAAAAGTTCCTGCAAATAAAAATGAGGGTTTACAGAATATCAGTGTTAATCAATCATTTCCCTTCTCAAATGTATGAAAACCGTTACCAGTAAATTTACCAGAGCAAATAATGCTCAATATTTCTGGTATTTGTTACAAAAAGAAGCATTAAAATTTATTGTTCAATGTTTTTGAGTATGAAAAATGCAAAAAATTAGTTATCAAACCATCCGAATAAACAAATATTTACAGCTGATCACAAGAGAATGTTAAAATATTGATACATAAAACAGTACAGAGTCAAACGCAGTGGGAAAATCACTAACATTTTTTATACTATACTATAATATGGTCACCGTGTATATGTATCATTGTTTACTTGGTCGAGAAAAAAATCAATTTAATGACATTCAAAGTTAATCGCTGGAAAACAACTGAACCGTTAACCACCTAAAAACATTAATTTTGACTGAAGCAGAAACATCATATCTGTTGCATTAGCAATATTAATCATAAATACCGTGGTCATTTTAATGTGTTGATCTATGAAATAAATTCATCCCTATGTTTTGAAATATAAATTAGTTTGTTTTTCTGATTCAGCTACACAAGTTAGACACTTTAAGGGGGGCGTCTACCCTCCAGAAAAACTTCCACATTTACTAACGGATCTTTCTGAAACTTCACACATATATGTAAAACCGAAATACAAGCAGATTTTGTTCGTATGGTTTTTTCGGAAAAACCAACAGAAAACGGACAAAAAAGGGGGTACTTTAAAAATCTATCTCCTCCTACAGTTTTCAAGCCACAGCATTGAAAGATATACCATTCGATTTATAAAGACCATACCAATCGAGTGAGGAAGCCCGATTTTTTATTTTTGCCTTAGTTTTTTTTACACGCATTTTCCTGTTTTCTTCTCATTTTCCCCCATCCCTCGATTTTGAATCTAAACTATGCATAAATCTAAAAAATATAACTCAGTACTCACTGCAGTGAGTGACAGAGAGCGCATTTTGTCGTCGACGAAAACGTGAAGTCACGGACGGACAGACAGAAAGACGGACGGACATGGCGAGCACAATAGTGCATTTTTCCATAAATAAGAAAATGCGCTAAAAAGGGCTTCGCTACTCAATAGGTATGGTCTTTACGAATCGAATGGTATATGTCTCATCGCTGTAGCTTCAAAACTCTAGGAGGAGATAGGTTTGCCGTGACAATAAGTGTGAATGTTCAGGAGAGCGTGACGAAGTCCCGCGCGCATCGCAATAGGCACTCAATGTAGCAAGGATACGAAACTAAACGTTACTGGAGCTGGATTCCAGTCAAGGATGGTGGGAGCGACTGCATGCACACCTCCTCATATGACGCCAGGCGGGTAACTATATAAGGTGCACCTCAAGAAGACACTCTATTTGAAGTGCTCGCAGCGAATTTCATCCTATTTTATTTGTCTAAAGAACTCCCCCCCCCTTTCATGATCTGTCGTGAACGCATAAATCAACGTACAGAGATGGTAATGGTACCATTGGATAGGGCAGAATGTCAGCTTTAATATGAAACTAATAACCGGAAAAGCCAAATCCGAAAACTTTAGGGTAGACGCCCCCCGTGAAAGAATGGGAGATTTGTACTTGCTGAGCTCATTTCCAAAAATTAACAATGATTGCAGGAAAAGTGCCACCTAAATTTAACGTCCACACCAATACAGGAAATAGAATTTCTAAACTCTGCAAAACAATTCAAAAGACCTCACTGAGTTTGACGAGGGCGTTCTTCTTAACGCCGCGCTCGGTGTAGACGAAGTTCATCTCCCAGGACGTGAGTTGTGTGTCGGCGCCGCAGCGCTTCTCCCCGCACCTGAACTGCCCCTTGCCTTCCTCCACCTCCTGCTGCGTGCGCCACCGCAGCCCTACCTGCACATCACCACCATCTTACACTCTCACTACTGCGTGCGTCATATCGTCGAAATAGTGACACTCTTTCTTACCTACAGCGTGAGAAGAGCCGCCGTAGCTCTGATGTACCCTTTAGCCCGGTGATACATTGTAAGGATGACCCATATAAAGGCGAAAATTGCATTGCTAAATGGATATAGTCTCACTCATTTCTCTTGGTGTACTAGGACACATCTTCAAAATCATTGGATTACAGCTTGCAGGCTTCCCGCATTGTGATGAATACAGAACATTAGTAGTAGGAAGTTTCAGTCCCTCAGCATATTTGATTCCTTCCAAAAGGGTTCATGAAAACACATCTAGCAGTTTTTCTATGAGCTCATAACTCCAATATCATATCATCTAAAAAAATCACTCCCGAGTTGATGCAAGTAGGTTACCTTATTCTCTTTATATCTGCTGAGGTCGCAGATGCAGTACTCCTTGAAGAGCTTGTCGAAGTATTTCTTCGCTAAAGCTTTCTGCCAGGAGCTGGTGTCGTCGCCAGCCTCCCACAGGAACTGGTGGTGAGCGCGCACGACGTCCATGTCGCGCACGTCCCGGGAACTGCAACCATACCGAGCACATTTAAATGAAGTATAAAAAGTAACAGAAAGCAGTAGCGAATGAGATTTACTTTATACCATTTTTAGCGCATTTTCTCACTTATGGAAAAAAATGCACTATTGTGCTCGCCATGTCTGTCTGTCCGTCCGTCTGTCCGTCGGTGACTTCACGTTTTCGTTGAAGAGAAAACTCTCTGTCACTCTCTGCAGTGAGTACTGAGTTATATTTTTTATATATTATACTATACTTTTATTATACAATTTTCTAACAACAGAGAGGCCTTGCAACGGTGTTAAATCCTTCGCTTCATGGGCAATTAGGGTAAGCAAGTAGCAAACGCCTTTGAAAAAGAAAAAACAAATGCTGTGGGCTACAAATCCTCAACAAAATATAAATATTTGTGAATCAATATATTCAAGAAATATAAAATTTAGTTAAGGTTTTAGACATATAGGTCTTTTACAATGAACATTGTGTGACTTCTTCCATGCACAGATGGCTGAAAAATGGCAAGGGAATTTAAAAGGGGAAAAAAATTTGCATAGGATTAGTTAGAGATAAAGAATAAGAATAGAACTGTGCACAAGGGCAATTTGCTCAAAAAATGTGGATGCAAGTCGCAAGACTGAATTAATGACAATGGAAGCTTTAAATGTAGTTGGAAAGCTATGGAAAAATTCTGTGCTTTAGCCAAGATTTATCATTGAAATATAGGACTAATGCAGGAGCTGGCAAGGTGGTTGCTATTGACCCTCAGGTGTTTGGGAGAACAAGCAAGGCATTGATCAATTTGTGTGGAACAGAAGAGGTTTTGTTTAGGGGAGGCAGTACAAATTTTTATAGGTACCTAATCTTGTATTTCTTCACTACATGGTACCAATGATCACTGCCATTTCCTCAATATCTATATAAACATAGATATCCTCTAACATTATAGGCATCGGGTAAAACATAGGATCTGTTTGGTTTACAAGAAGTTTCTATCATTTTGATTATCAAAACTGTCATATATACTTCAGTATTTTTTGCCAAATTTTTGTAGAGGTCTGTTCAAGTCAAGACATCCCTGAAGATTAGCAAATGAGGAAAAAGCCACAAATCAATGTGTACTTTCTATATACGTTTTCTACAATACATTCATCAGCTTCAGAGCGCTTAAACAGCAGGCCAGCAAAACGTGCAGTAAAATAAAATATAATCAAACGAGAGCACAAGCAAACCTGTCACGTTGCAGCTGAGTAGTGGCACCAGGATGGTACAAGAGATACTGGTTCACCAGGATCTTGTGTCGGTCATACGCAGTGAGGGAAGACTGGTGGTAACGCAGGATTTGGCCAAGACTTTGACATGACAGATCATTCATGTCAGCTCTAGAAGGAAGACCTGCAACAGAGTGCAAACTTTCAATCTTTATTTGAGGAATCGGATGTATATTTTCCTTTCAATATCAAATAATTCATATCAGAGAATATTTATTAAAGGTAATGTCAAATTTATAATACCTAATTAATCAAAACTAAAAAAAATTAATACATCTTAGAGCACAACAAACCAAGAAAAAAATATTGCCTTGCTTCTAAAATGCTTAGAAGTGTTTGACAAAGAAATATTATAAATATTGAACTGAAAATCTATAAAAACATTTTGAAGTTGAACATTCAATCTTTTGGAAAAACTGATTTCAAATCCAGTGTGCCTCTTGCATGCAACAGGGAGTCAATCAGATATAAGATAATAATTCACACTTATTATTGAGTCATATTGTACCAGGTTTTATGAAATAACCCATAGGTATATATTGCAACTCTTAAGACATGTGCCCAAAGCAAGCAAACAGTTACCCCTATTGCAATTCTCAAGATAAGAGAAAGCCATGAGAGCAGCAACTTAAACTCAAGAATAGGTAAGGTACCTATTGTTGCAAGATATAAATTCACAAGTGTGTTTAATCATGCTATCCATTACAGCTTACTATAGTGAATGCTCCAAGTTCTCTCATGTACTAAGGTATTGTGAATGGCATAAAGCTTGCTAACAAAGTACGTACTAGGTACCACTGATTAATGATCATATAATATTTGAGGCCAATTATATAACAGGCACAAATAATTGAGGAATTAGGGATGCAACTCCTTATACATATAAAATAAGATGGATTGCAATGCATTTATTTTAGTGCAAAAAATCAAGGTTTTAGGCTTAATAACAAATTATTTCAGTTTACACTCTTTCTTATGAGACAACTTCATTCTCAATTTATGCTTATACTCTGCCACACTTCTGGAATGGAATGCAGGCAAGAACAAAGCAACAATTGCTTTTTTTTGAGCAATTTTCCATTGCTCAAACATAGGCTCAGGTATTCCACTTACAAGGACAAATAGTGACTAATGTTTGTCATTTAAGAAGCACCAGATTACTTTGGTAGGTACCTATACCAATCATTATCTTCATAAAAACATATATTTAAATGCAAAATGATATCCTTTAGTATAATCAATATTTTATTCATTCATACATATAAAATACTAACACTACCTTTGTGCCAAGACAGTTTCATATGGACTAGAGCATTATAATGAATGTATTTTTTAGGCAATTAAATATCAAATAACCAAATTATATCATTCCCCACTTTTATTCTTCACTTTATGGTACAACTTTTAGGCTAAGTATTCACAAAAATAATACTACATACCTAATACATTTACAGTTATTTTTTACATATTTAGTTCATCTTGTGTTGGTTAATCTTCCTACAATATCATAAAGTGAGTCAACCTTTGATGGAACCAAACACTCTGGTGAGCAGATTTAATTTCACTCTTCAACACCAGTATTGGATAGGCTAGATTTATAAGTCAAGCTTTCAAAATAAGGATTGAAAGTCAAATCAATGAAGTAATGCAAAAGCACACACTATAGTCAATTTGCCAAGAAGAAAGGGTCTTTAATAATCCAAATAAATCAACAGAAGTAACATGAAATTCATTATAGGATTAGCTCTGAATGTACATATGACTTTTGAACATCAATCTCTAAGAGCCAAGTGTCTTTGAAACAAAGTCACTGGTAATTTAAAAAAAAATAATTGCTTTCAAACTTAAAGCAATAAATACTTACCTACTTTAATTTATCATAATCATACAAAATATAGAAATATCAGTCTCATTGTCTCAGAGAAAAGATCAGTAATATTTATAAATTCGGGTACTGGAGTGAACAGTTTTGATTGCATAATAAATTACCTGAGCCATGGGATGGTCCAGATCTGGTCCTGAGCAGTGGGTCTTTGTGTGAAGGAATCTTGAGGCCTTTAGCTCTACAGCCAGGAGGTCTAAAAGAGTCCCCCTCAAATGATGAATCATAATCATCACTCATTGTTGAGTATCTGCTATTTTACTATAAAATATTTTGTCATAAGTACTAAGTCTGAAAGGAGAAAACAAAGCATGTATTTAGTATATTGATATTTAAGTGCACCTTCTATATAGGATTATAGGTAAAATAGGGTAACTTAGATTACTTTTTTTTAAATGATGCCATTTTTTTACTAGCTAAATTAAATTTAAATTGAAACATGCAAAATACAGGTCTATACTCTAGGTTCACTCACCATAAATTGCTGGCTCCTGCCTCTCATAGTTTTTATGTAATTTCAAAAAAAGTGATGGTCTTTGTTACCCCTGCTCTTGGGATATCTTAGACTGGGTGGTAAAATCAATTATATTTTTTGGTAAAATAACTCCAGGTTTTGGTGCATTGTAGTAGAACTCTTCTAGTTACATATGCAAATGATAAATTTTAGGAAAGTGTCATAGTTTGCAAATGGAGCGCTGCCCCCAATGGGGGAACTTTGACCACCTAATGGCAGCCATGAAGGGGTAACATTGACCGGCTTGGAGATCAAGTTATAATTACCATAGGTACCTATATAACATATTTTATGTTTGATACACCTATCAGTGTTTTTTCTTTATGTTTCAGACTCTACAGTTTTATATATGGTAATTTTTACTTAATTTCCAAGCCGGTCAATGTTACCCCATCACAGATGCCATTAGGTGGTCACATTTTGCCCATTGGGAGGCGGTGCCCCTAATTTGCAAACTATGACACTTTCCTAAAATTTATCATTTGCATATGTAACTAGAAGAGTTCTACTACAATGCACCAAAACCTGGAGTTATTTGGAGTTATTTTACCAAAAAATAAAATTGAATTAACCACCCAGTCAAAAAAACCATATGAGTTGGGGTAACAAAGACCATCACTTTTTTTGAAATTACATCAAGACTATGAGAGGCAGGAGCCAGCAATTCATGGTGATTGAGTATAGACCTGTATTTTGCAGGTTTCAATTCAAGTTTAACTTAACTAGTAAAAAAATGACAATTTAAAAAAAAAATGGTCAAAGTTACCCCATTTTGTGGTATGTAACTAGAAGAGTCTACTACAATGCACCAAAACCTGGAGTAATTTTATGAAAAAATTAAAAAAAATTTGAGGGAGTTCTATGACAGGCTTTAAATAATAGCTCGTTTTCATGGGTCACATTTTTCATTTTTTAACCTATTAAATATGCATAGTTTTTGTATCTTTCTATTGTGTTACATTACATAGCCTCAGTATTAGTCCTTTAATGCCCATTGACAAAATTTTTCTATGTCAAATAGTTTTTGAGTTTTGGAGGTTTT